AAAGAATATATGAAGTACATACAGTATATATATACATATTTAAAATACTTAAAATTCTTATGTAAAATATGATTTTTCTATATTATTTGTGTAAAAATACATTTTTAAATGGTGTCAACTTGATTTTTCTGTACATACCCTCTATTCCAATTTATGTCCCTTTTAAAAAGGCAAAAGACAGACAAAGGTTTAGTATCTTCTAAACTGTGTTTACAGGCCTGTTGTCAAAACAAGAAAAGCACGTGGTAAACAGTATTGGATTTCTTCTTTTTAAGAATTCCCATTTTTATTGCATTAATGGAAAAAACTGAATCTTTTCAGTTCTGCGAGTAAAACTGTTCTTGGCCTTGCTGAGAAACGGCAAACTCCCAATACCCTGTTTATCTAGTTCATAAATCATCCTTTGTCTTTTTTTTTTACAGATACTAAAATATATATTACTTAAAATATATTACTGTAAGCTCTTAAAATTGATCTTCAGTTATATCAAATGTATAGCATTAAAAAAACCCAACCTAGGTAACAAAGAGAATGCGGGATGCCACCCTCCTAGCAAACGCTGGAGCCCTCCTCCCTGTGCGACGGCGGTGGCAGCAGCCCCGGTGCCTGCGGGTCCCCGTGCCCCGGCCGAGGCCGCGCGCCGCGGGAGGTGATTCAGTGTGCACACGCCATCCTTTCCCTCCTCCCGCCGCTGCAGCCACCCCTGTTTTCAGAGGTGGGACTCTGGAAGTTCAGCGCCGCGCCAGCCCAGCCCCAGCGCTCTCCTCCATAACGCCCACAGCCAACAGAGCCACGGAGGCGCCGCCAGGGCCGACGGTCGGGGGGCTTTCAAACATCTCGGCCGAAGCAACACTCCCAAAAGAAACAAACCCGTGTCCCCAGGGCTTCACGCGTCCCTGGTGAGACAGTTCCAGTGAAGAAAGCCACCGGCCTTCCCGGCACGTCCCGGAGAACACCCCAGCCCAGCTCGCCCTTCTGGTGGACCCCCACGGCCGAGGGGTTTAAACGAAGCATCAGATGGAGCCTTCCCGGAGGAGAGAAGCCTGAGAGCCGCTCCCGTCTCCTGCTGTGGGCACGCCAGGCAGGGACCGGCCCTGGTTGGGGTCTTTGCTGCCACTAATGAGCTTTCCTTTTGATTTAAGAAGGGATGTTAACATCCCACACAAAATTCCTTCCCTGTGCTACCAACCTGTCTCAAAAGCTGAACTCGTCCACAGAGCTGCGCCCGCTCCTCCGCTGCAGCAACTCCTACGTGGGGTTTCTGCACTGGGAAGTTAAGCCCCACTGATCAGTCTGTATTTCTAGTTCTGTGCTGCAGGACTTGGATATGGCCCAAAAGGGAAAATTTAAATCCGAGTATCTTTTCTTACTCAAGTTGCTTTTCCTGCCACAAACACAGTTTGACATTAGGCTTTGAAAACGTTTTATCTCAGATTTTTTTTATGACAGCATTTAATATAGTGCTATTAATTTCAGGGGAACTGAAGTCTAATGCTTTAAACTGTGTCACGACATCACTTTTATGTATAAAACCAGTGTCAGGCAAAAATCCCAGCAAAATCAACTTGCAGTTAATGAACTCTAATGTGGGATTTTTCCAGACCACCACAATGCTGGAGGAGCCCCAGCAGTGAGGCGGCAGCAGGCTGACCCCACGTCGGGAACACTCCTGTAGAGGCTGCGGGATTTCCTCCTTCTAAAACGCATCATTCAGTAACCAGCACTGTCGAACAGGCAAAGCTTTCAAGGTTTTATGTTGACCTGTAAGTGATTATTACACTTAGCCCCATTAATTTCTAATGAATTCTTAACTACTTAATGCCCTCTTGCAAGCCTGCGGAGATTGTTCCAGCAAGTTGCACCTAGTAGCTCATAGCATACGGTAAAATCAAAGACATGCAGTTAAAAGAATTTATTTTCTTAAAAAGAAATAGAATAAAAGTAGCCCAAGAAAAGTGCTGATCTGTTAAAATACACCTAAGGCACTGAAGAGTTGTAAACTTCCAGGTCATCCTGCGAGATGCCTACACAGTCCAATCCAGGCCTGGAGCCACGGAGACCTCGTGGTCACCGTACATCCCACCCCGGGACAGCCACAGCGAGCAGGCACGATTCCTGCAGCACCACGCACGAGACAGCAACTTCTTGTGCTTCCCAAGAGGACTCACAAGACACGTTTGTGGAACAGAAAACCAAACCCACGCGCGACAGAAGACACCTGTAAAATTCAAAGGGAGGAACAAGCTGGACCCACAGCCAGGGGCGGTGGCGGCTTTGGAAAGTGCCAAAGGAGGAATGGGACAGCCTTTCCCAGCGGCAGCAGGGTTAAACGCCGGTGCGCGAAGAGCAAGGCGGCAAATCGCAGCCTGCTGCTCCCTCACCTCTTCTCCTCCCCCCTCAAGCAGCCTTGTCAGCCTAGGAGAACTACAGCAGTCAAAGCCAAGGTGCGAACGGAACTGATCCCATTATGCCAGCAAACCCCCTTGGCTCTTATTTGAGGCAACAATGACTTTTTCAGTTTATTTTGTAACCACCAACAATCTTTAAATTGGATTATACTGGGGGTCTGTCTCAGACAGGAATGAGTGTGTCTACCTGAGGATTACGCTGCTGGAACTTCTTTCATGTCTAGACAAGGCTTGAGCGAACAAGGAACGCGCAGACCCTGCATGCAGTACACGACTCCCCAGGACGCACAGCTTGAACCGACATTACACCGTGTCCTGCAATGTAAAACCATGGCAGAAACTCCTCCTGCAGCACCAGAGAAGGAAGCGGGCGGCGGTGGCTGCTGCCCGGCGCAGCACCGATGTACAGGTCAGCCCAGGGAGGGAGATGGTCCCCGTCACAGGGTCTGGGGTTGTAACGGGACACACCAACCCCTGCTGGCTGGTCTGCCCCTCCGCACGCACACAAGTGTGCAGCGGGGGACGCGCACGAGCTGGGGTGGGTCTTGGGCTACAGCCACCGCCAACGCCTGTGCAGCAGGACGGAAACATTGGGAGTAATTTGTGCTTAGGGTTTTGGGTTTCTTTTTGAGATTTCAGTTATAGATTAAAAAAATGGGCTTTACTTCTAATACTAAAATCCTCTTTGTCACTGGCTGTCCGCGCAGTGATGCATCACTAGAGAGCAGGGTCACTGCTCCCCAGTACATTTACAATGAGCAAAACAGAGACCAAGATGCGCTGCAGCTCTTGCTAACTCCCGCCCGCTCCTCCTGCTCTGGAGGATGCCGTGCTCCGCCGGACAGGGAAGGAAATGTTTCTGTTACGACATGATTAAGTCTGCGACTCTCTTTTTGTTTATCATTACCAAATCAATCACCACCCGCTCCTCGGAAAAACGCACTGCTTCACATGCGATTACTTCTGCTCCGTACCACCAGCTCGCCGGGTCCCCAGGCGAGGGGGACGGGGAAAGCCGTAGTGCCGTGAAAGGGAGAGAAGAAGGAAAGGCTGCGGACCCCGCTCACAGAACGGCTGTCCCACCTGTTCTGTTAATATTGCTTCATCTTAAAAAGGCCTTTGGATTAAAAGTGAATTCAGTGCTTTTCCATCAAAAAGATACATAGATCTGTTCCCTGACCGAGATGCAGTATGGCCCCCCGCCCGCCCCGAACAGCGACAACATGGGACTGGAGGTGATTAGTGAACCCCACGTTCTTGGTTTCGGAAGAGAAATAACACAGAAATCATGGATGTGATGCGGACACGTTGCAATACATCAAAACGAAGATTGGCGTGTGCTTCGCTAGCCAGCCTGTCGTCAGCTCTTGTTGATAACAGAGTACCATTTTGTAACTGCTTTAATTTTGATTAATTGAATGAATTTTGAAGGCTGAAAGTGAGGATGAGTGTCCCCAGCTGTGTCCCACGCTCCGGCCGGAGGGGTGCGGCGCAGCGCCTTCCCTGGCCCCAGCACAGCCCCGGGCCTCGGCCGCGCAGAGCCCGCGCGCAGGCAAGCCTGACCTGGCGCGGTAAAACACTGACACCCACGGCGGGCTCATGGTGAGGCCCAACAAGACACTTGTTTTTCTTTCCCTTTTTCACTTAGCTAAATATAAAATCTCCTACAGAAATTGGAGAAGTCTGACTGTCGGGGAGGTCTGAATGAGCACAGGAAAAGCTTCCTAGAAAACAGCAGGACTGAGGGTGACACGTAGTGCACTCACTCGCATCATGGGCTGCCACAGCTGGTGGTTCCTGACCGGGACGGCGCGTTCCAGCTCACCCGAAATGCCTCATAAACAAGCAGGTTTCTGCCGAGTCCCAACAGTCCAGAAATGAAATGCAGTTCAGCACATATTTGTGATCTCTGCTTTAAATGGTTCCCGGGATTACCGATCATTACAGTTACTGAGTTGTTTTAGTGATTTAAATTCTTGAATCCTATGGTTAGTACAGTTGCCGTTTTCAGTATTGACCAGTAGCAAATCGAGACATTACCTTCCTTAAAACAAGGTTACTGCAACGGCCTCCTTGAAGAGGAGAGGATATGCAAATCAGAAACACCAGCCAATATTGCACAACCCAGTACGCCTTCTGGAACCAGCCCGGGCAAAAGTGAAAGGCAATTACTCAAAAGGCCGGTACAATGTTAACGCCTTCCAATTCTGAAAAATTCCGAGTAAAATTTAGAGCAACAAAGTGAGCCCAAGGGATTCCCGCTTCGCTGCTCTGGTCGATCAGTACAAATGTTTAGTTTCTTGATTATCCGGTTCTCCTCTTTGTCAAGAGAAGCCCAAGAACAGGTGAAGGTTTTGCCGGGGGTGCGTTCCCCCATCTAGAGCAGAGCTCAGCAAACATGCTGGAGAGCAGGCTGGGGTTAATGAAACTGCAGTACAAGTCAAACGCTATCTCCTAAAAGATTGAAAAAATAGTTTTAAACAAAATAATGTGACATATTTACAGAATTCCTTAAGTGCAAACTCTTGTCACAATTCACGTAGTTGAGCTCAATTTAGACTCACTGTACAAGAAGGTGCTCTTTCTTTAATGAAAGAAGAACTCTACTCTGTATTCCTGATTCAGTAACGTGTCTCTTGTGCAAGGCAGTAATTTTCCTGTTTCTTCCCATTGTACTTCCCAAAGCAAAACCAAAACCAAGCCGTCCTCTTCCCCACTTCCCCTCCCGGTTACCGCACCACGAGGCAGGAGACACAGAGCTTAGAGGGGCCAATGCAGTCATCATGGCAGAAGGCACCGCAGCCCTTGCACATGATCATGGCTTTCAACCTGCAGTAACATTTGGAAGGAGAATCCTCCATGCTGTTGTCTTCAGCGAAGGCCTGAACGGGGATGCTCTGACTGTGGCTGCTGGAGTTCATAGCTTGGCTGGTGGGAATGGTGGTTACAGTCACAGAGAAGGACATGACGTTCCCCATGCTACTGGACAACTGATTGCATTCAGACAGCCCGCTCATAAGAGACCCTTGGTTCACGTCCGGGGAGGTGGAGACGTTTATTGTCCCACTGTAACTGGGCCCAAGGAGCTGTGCTGCAGCACCTCCAGACAGCTTTGGAGGCTGCGAAGGAGAGAGCAGCGGAGGCTGCTGCTGGGCAGAGTCCGAGGACGGTACGGCAGCACTGAAAGGCTCCGGATTGCTGTGCGTTTTCCCCCTCATTGCATGTGCCATTTGCTCTTGAGCGGCTTGAATAAAATCTCGTGCTAGCGTAGTTCCGTCAAATGCCTGGACGTTCTCCTTGCTGCCTGCTGCCTGCTGAGACGTGGCTCCTTCTGTCTTTACACCCTTTTTAGCAAGGGTGCTGTAATCCGACGAACTCATGCTATGTGATACCTGTTCTTTTTCACACTGACCAGAAGCCTGGGCAGCCTGGGGCTCCTCTTTTACACTGATATGTTCACGTTCATCACCAGTACTCTCATCATCTGCATCTCCTTCATCGCTGCTGCTGCCATGGCCAGCCATCTCCTCACCTTCCCCAAATTCTGCTTTTGGAGCATCAGCAGGACTGTTCAGACACAGGCGGTTTTCAGGGTTCAAGGAGAAGCCTCTCCTCAAACTCTCTGAACCGCGGCCATAGGTGGAAATGTTGAGCAGATAATGACCAGACATCGCAGGCTTGGATGTCCTTCTGCCCATGAAACCCAGCATAAATCGCTGACTGGTGGAGCTGTTTTCTAACTGGAAACCTGAGTGAGTGAGGTTCAGTTGTGAAGGCTGAAGGACTGGCAACAAGTTCTGCCTCTGGACCCTCTTGATAAGAGTCTGAAGGATCTGCTCTTGGGTTGTTTTGCTGAGCCCCTCGTGGCACTGCTGCTGGTCAGGACTGGGGTCCTTCCCCGAGGGGAGCGGAAAGGTCCTTGGAATGTGAGGCAGAGGCCTGTTCTGGCAAAAGACCTTCCCAAGCTGTTGTGTGGGTAAACTCGATTGTCTTTCCCCACCCTCGGCTCCAGTGCTGTTCCCTGCTACGCTTGGAGCACTGGATGCTGCTGCTGCCCAGTTTTCTTCATGAGAAGCTAAAGGGACAGTTTTCATCTCGGCTTTGGTGAGAGGCTTCGGCAGGATTTGCTCCAGAGGGACATTCTTGCCTTGAAGAAGTTGGGTGACCAAAGGGTTGTTCGCGGGAATACTGGAGCTTGGTTTTGGGAGGGCCCCGCTTGAGCTTGAAGTTGCGTGAGTTTTAAGGCTAGGCGCTACCGAGGAGGTGTTAGAGGGTGGGACAGATGTGGCAGATGTGACCACCCCTCCAGCCTGGGCTTCCGAGCTCGTGGATGTCAGTGAAGACACCGGCGAGGAAGGAGATTTGCTTTTAGAAACATCTAAGCTGGTGCCTCCTAAGGCCGTAGGTGCTACCTTAGTTACATTTGTGCCGGTCTCTGCTGTGGACACCGCGACACAGACTGTTCCATCCCTGACAGCTGACGCCCCGCAGGCCGGGCTTGGACCTGCCGCAGCAGAAGGTGCTTTCTCTTGTTTGTCACTGCTACCAGCATACGGGGAGCCTGAAACCTGACTTACGGTCATACTGGGGGGGCTCTGTTTCATTCTGTTGGTTTTCTCTAATGCCGACAGCGCTGCTGAGGAGGAGCTGGTGCCTGTGTTGCTGGATGGAGTTCTGGGTTGCAGCGTGGAAGTTTGCTGTAGTTGTGCTCTAGAAGGATCGTGAGGCGGTGCCTGGCCCGGGGCCGGGGTCTCCATTTGGGAACGTGTCCCTGGACAATGGGGAAGAAACCTTCTCGAACTTCCCCCGCTTCCAGTTCCTGCCAGTTCCAGTGCGTTTCCTCGAATTCCAGTTTCGTTGGTTCCGCTTGTTGCTGAGAATTTTATAAAAATCATCAGAAGACTGGGCTTTTGCCTTGATGTCTGCCAAAGTTCTGGCCCCTGTTCTTCCCGGACTGGTGAGTGAGATGGGGAAACGTGCCCTGGGAGAGACCTGGCCCGCAGGAAATGGCATCGGGGAGATTCTGGAAACGGGGATCTGAAACAGAGCAGGAGAGAAGCACAGCTGAGACAGGGGGACCATTTAACCCACGTACTTAAGAACTTCAGTGCTTATAGTTGTAGTCTTAGAGACATAGTTGTAGTTTTGGAGAAGTCCCTTATCTCCCTCACTTGACATAAATGACGAAAGACACACATGATCTTTCGATGTCTGGCACACCTATTTTATCTCCATTACCACCTTAGTGACTGAGAGCGGGAGCTCATCCCTTGCACCTGCAGGCTCACACGTCGCACACCGTGGCTCAAAAGCCTATCGAGCTCCCTCAGAAAAACCTGTCAGGCTGTTCCAGAACTCGCCACCCACCCTCCCTTATTCTAAGTTCCCGTCACACTTCCTGTCCATCTGCCCTACCCACTGCAATCGATCACCCGTTCCCTTTCCCAGGCAGGTTCTTGCTGAGACTCAGCAGCTAAAGGGCTTTTGGAATTGAGACATTTCCTACAACGGTCTCTCCGTGCTACCGAGCCTGACACTGCCCCGCATTCCGCTGCTGTACATGAGAACTGCATTATTTCTACATGGTCTTTTTTTTTTAAACACAGGTAAATAATTTTGTTTCTGGACTTGATACACCAGGGGAAGCTGCTGACAGCATTCCTTCTGGACCTGTTAATGTACTGCTGGGTGTACTCACGCGTCTGCAACGCTCTGTGCACCCCTGGGCTACAACTTGCCCTGTTATGGTAGTCTCACAGGTCTTCCGCAGCTCTCCTGTTTCCAACGAGAACTGCAGTACTCCCTGTTAGGCTCTGCCTCGGGCTTTTGCGCGATTCTTTGAGCTTCTGGCCCAAAAGATCTTTTAACACATGCATGTGTAGGAGAGAGACTTAACTAAAGTTACGTTGATTAACGTAACGTTGCAGACTCCCTTCTGCGAACAGCTGAGATTTACATTTTTGGCTCAAATATTTCCATCGCTGTAATAAGCAGGTAACGTAATTTACATACATAACTAGAGCGGAAGGGACAAAGCATTTCTGTGAGAGCCACCAGCTGAACTGGCCCACGTAAGGCCACTCTGGGGCCCTCTCCTCATTTCTCTTTACCTTGAGTGGGGGCACCCGTGGCACCGGGGTCCCCGCTGCAGGAAAGGACTGGGGCTGGGCCCGAAACGCCTGGCGGTGCTGGCAGTTCTCCATCATGCGTGGCTTTTTTTCAGGAGTGGTCGGAGCTTCTTCATGACTCTCTGACTTCCTCTTATGGGCTTCAACACTGACTTCCATTGCTTCATTTACAGGGGGCTTCTTTTCTGGTGTTTCTGGAGCAATCACTGCACTTTTCACGTTTGCTACTACTTCAGCTGCTTCGGGGCTCTTTGGTTTACTCGGGGCCAAAGCTGAGGTACCGACAGTCTCTTTCCCCAGCACTTCCTTTGACGCAGCGTGCTTTCTCTCTTCTTCAGGCTTTTGACTAACAGCCGTTTGTGGTTTCTCCGGAACGGATTCTCCTGGGGGTCTTTCTTTTATAGGGAGAGGACGGTCGCCAGGTTTCACCGCACACCCATCCGGGGAAACCGCGGCCTCGGCAGGTTTGGCTGCTTTGGGCTGCGTGTCCTCTCTTCTTTCCTCTCCTCCTTTTTTCATTGTTGGCGCTTCCTGGACTGCTTGTGCTTTAGACTCTACGGGAGAAGTAGTCTCCTCTTTGAGCGGTGCCAGAGAGGCTGGCGTGCATTTTGGCTGTTCAGGTGCTGGATGTTCAGTCTCTGTCTCGACAGGGCTGGTGTTTGCTGTCAGTCTCTTGGACTCTTCAGGACTTAGTCCAGAACTGTCAATAAAATCAGAATTTTTATTTTGTAAAACATTCTTGCAAAAAGCATATTATCCTTACGAAAACGGAGAGAGGATTCTCTACGTACCACACCCTAAATAAATGTCTCACCTAATTCTATGCCACAATCTTTGAAAACCTTCTGCACTGTTAGTCCTTCCACATGAAACAGAACTTAATAGCAAAGCTTAAAACCAACTAAATGATATACACGGAACACAGGTCCGATGTAGTCCTCTACCCAGATACAAATTTTCCAGGCTGCAAATCCAGTGAATTTGGCCAGCAGTAAATATTCCCTTTATTAGCCGCCACAGACGTATCTCTGCAGCACGCGACCAACCCCACACAACTTGCATCTGAGTTAAGCTCATATGGTGACGTTTGCGGACAGGGACAGAGAAGCCTCTCACCATCTTTCCCAGAGGAACACAGCGAGTGCCAGAACCACTGACGCACCCTTAGCTTAGAACCGACATCGCTGCCTTTCTTCATCATCAAAAAACTGGGACTATCTCCCTGCGTTATTCACCCATCTTTATTTGTGAAAGAAGTGAACGAGCTGGGACTCTAATTCCCAGAGTGACGTCTGATTTAGGATTAACTTCACCCATCCCTCATAATGAAATATCAAATCTGTTTTTTAGCCCAAACATGAATCATAAAATCTGATGAAGCCAGTCTGGTGAAGACTGCTATGGGACTGATTTCTCCCAGACAAGCTCTTAATGGCTAGAGAGAGCTGAACTCCCGCTATTATGAAGACACCTCCATGCTGTCCTGCCGTCCCTTGTCCCCCTAAAGCTTCAAGAATGTGGCTGTCACCTTTTCTCTTCCTGCACAGAGCTCCGTGTGTGATTATATCCTGGTTTTCAACGCTGGGAGAACTGGGTGAGTTAGCCCAGTAAGGCCCTTTGCTAAAGCCACTAGGTGACTTGCGTTCTCACGCTGGTGTACTCCTTTACCGAGTGCCGCAGCCTGCCACACGGAGCCCCCCCTCCTACTCACCGCCGAGACCCCAAACTATCAGACCACGGAATGATAAAAATAGGGCTCCCCATAATCCAAATGCCCCAGAGGGTTAAAACACCACAGGTGAGTGGGAGGGAGACTGGCTGACAGCCCAGGGACAAGCATAAAAGCTGACTGCCAAGATGCAGGAGTCTGTTCGTTTTCAAGTTTCTTAGTATAGTTATTCACACAGAAATCTGAAATCCTCTCCACAGCCCCAAAGGATGGGGAAATCTTGAAGCAAAAAGAAACACAGAATGAAAGACCTGCAGGCCTGGGAGTTTAACCAAATGTGTGTCTGATTGAAGACGTGGGGAAATACGCAAGATTTTCTGTAGCCGGTGACTTACTGCAAGGTAGAGTACGCTCAACCCCACAGCCCTGTGGATTTCCAGAATCCTGACACTCGGAGAACCGTAAGAGGGGAGTGTCTCAAAGTATCACCGTAAGGAGTGGGAACGGTTAAGCTGTAAAGTCTAAGGACATCCTCACCTAAGGAACACCGCACTGCACTGGTTAAAGCATTAGAAACCACGGCAGCAAACACATGGCTTCTGACCTAGATCACTCGGGCACTTTCTCGGTCCTGTGGCAGCCAGATGAAGCTAGAGACCTTTTTCAGGTTTCAGGACTAGTGAAAAGTACTGTTTATTGACGGGCAGCACACTACAAACACAGCAACAGGTACGTCTCAAAAGGCAATGTGGGAATAAGAAGGACACTGAATGTCTTACCTCTGACCATAGTAGCTCTCGAAAAAATGTTCCTTCCACAGCTCCACTTTCTTTTCCTTTTCTATTTCTTGCCGTATTCTTAGCTGCATTTCTGGTGTAAACTCACCTGCAAAATGCAATAGGGGTTATCTTCTAAAAAAGCCGTGGATAAAAGGAATCAGGATAACCACAGGAGCGTTCCCGCCTGCAGGTGCGAGTGCCGTCTCACAGAAGTCCCCTTGGCAGCCTGTGACGCTGCAGCCCTGCCTGTGGTCCCGCAGCACTGCTCCTGAGCCACGAGGTGTTTCTCTGCTGCAGCGGATGGGCAACACCTTTACCCCTGACAGTCGCAACACCTTTACCCCTGCCACTGTCCGCTCTGGCTGCCGAGAGATGCTCCGCGTGAAACAGCGCTTATTACGTGAATACAAATCTATACCCAAACGTAGGTCGTACGTATGCTCGCACTGCGTAACTGCCATCTTCTGCAGGGCCCGAAGGTATTGCCTGTGCAGACGGCAATGCACTACAGCACCTTGTGCCGACGGTGGCGGATGGCTGTGGGGAAGTCTGCACATAAGAACATCAAAGACTTCTTGCCCAGCACAAATGATAGAAAATATTTTCGGCAATGGACGCTATGCTGTCGCAGGCAGGTGGGAAACAAACAACTCCTCTCACACACCTGAAGCGCACGTTTCACACATACATGTGTTGCGGTTCGTAAGAAATATTTCCTCATGTCAAGTCTGAACCCTCCCCAGCGCAGCTTCGAACCCTTACGGTTTGTAAGACTGTATGTTAATATTCTAAGAGTTCATCATTAGACAACAAGAACGCTTGGGTTTTTGACCCAACTGCAGTGCTTTGGTGATAGACGTGTGGCCTTGAGCCTCAAGACTTCATTCATCCTCAAGGTTTATCTAGTTCACACATTTTGTTTGTGCTCTTTAGCGCTGGAGGAAACAGTTACTAGAACCCAATCTTTTCTAACACTGCAACTATCAGAGTGGATTATGTGAAAATATTAACAGAAATTGGATATTTTCATCACGGCAGAGTTTGTTTCTCAACAGTTTTCTCCTGTTAAATAAGGGGATTGTAAGAAATTCTTGCTGGGTTTGTTCTTCGTGCAGTTATTAAAATATGTCCAAAGGAAACTAAGAGTGTGTCCCTTTTTAGTACACTTACTTGTCGGTATTATATCAGGACAGTCATCTTTTTATCGTAGCAATTACAGAGGGCCCTAAAAACAGTCTCTGGTACATCAGCTTTCTTTTCTATTTTTGTATAAACTTGGCCACGTAAATAAATACAGAAAGTCTGTTGCATCGAAAACAGCGGGATGCCTGCCTTTGCTTAGAGTAATTTAGCAACAGGGTATGAAATTCATTCATTTGAAATAACCTCTGTTGTAGCAGTGCAATCTTGGGTTTTCATTCGGTGGTTATGCCACCTTTCTCTCCCAGTTGGGAGATTTCAACTAAAAGCGTACGTCTGCCTCGGCCCCAGATTGCAGTGAGCGCAAAGCACAGTGAAAACCTGTGGGGTAGCTTGTAGTCAAGTGGAAGTGATTTACTTATCAACTTCTGCCTGAAGGTTGATGGGGACCTCGGGGGGTCTCCAGTCCAACCTCCAGCTCACAGCAGGGCCAGCTCGGCCTCCCCCAGGTTGCTCAGGGCTCTGGCCAGTTGGGTCTTGGAAACCTCCAAGGATGGAGATGGCACAGCCTCTCTGGGCCCCCCCTCCACTGCCCGACTGTCCTCACGGGGATAAAATTTTTCCTTACATCCCATCTGACTCTTGCTTGTTTTCTCTCATCCTCCTGCCGCGCACCGCTGTGACCAGCCTGGCTCCATCTTCCTGCTGGCCTCCCTGCAGGAGCAGGGTGGTGGCTCTCAGGTCACCCCTCCCCAGGCTGTATCGCTGCCAGGGGCTCTCCCTTCCCAGGGGCAGGATCCCGCCTGGCTCCAGCCTGTCTCGGCCCCGCTGGATGGCAGCTCTGCCCGCCAGCATATTGACTGGGGCTCCCAGTTTGGTGTCCTCTGCAAACTCCCCAAGGGTCGTTGATAAAGAAGGCAAAAGGGACAGGTGCCCGGACGATAGGCCGCTGCGGTCTCCACTTGTTACCAGCCTCCAAGCATGAACCATGACTCCAAGCTTGACCATCTAACCAGCTGTTTACCCATCTGGTTGTCCACCCATCTAGCCCCTACAGTCCCAGTAGTGGATACAAGAGTATTGTGGGAGACAGTTATCAAAAGTTTGCTTAGGTTGAGGCAAATGATGCCCACTGCTCTCCTCTTGTTCACAAATTCAGTCATTTTTAATGCAGTCAAGTTCTTCAGGGATGATTTACACTTGGTACAACCATGCTATGGTTTCCAATCACCTTCTTCTTCACATAGAATGGTTTAGGTTGGAAGAGACCTTAAAGGCCATCTCGTTCCACCCCTCTGCCCTGGGCAGGGCCACCTCCCCCCAGCCCAGGTTGCTCCAAGCCCCGTCCAACCTGGCCTTGAACCCCTCCAGGGATGGGGCAGCCACAGCTTCTCAGGGCAACCTGCCCCAGGGGATCACCACCCTCACAGTTAAGAATTTCTTCCTAATATCTCATTTCAATCTCCCCTCTTTCAGTTTAAAACCATTCCCCCTCGTCCTGTCACTACATGCCCAGAAATGTGCTCCAGGAGGGCTCACTCCATCACTTTCCCAGTGATGACACTGATGCTGACCAGCACTGTGTTTTCTCAAGGTACGGCTGACCAGGTCTGCCTATGTTACATAACACTGCGGGTGACCCCGAACAGCACTGGTATGAATCGTCAGCGCCTTGAGGAGCAGCTGAAGAAAGCCTACAGGACTGCTCTGCCCACAGTGGCATCGTGCTCTGATACCTGAGCAGAGATACAGCGCTCCATAATAATGTCAGTGGAGGTCTCCAGACCTCACGCTGGTCATTGCAAGCTTCACCATCGCAGCAGGTTCTACCACAGTTTCCCTCTGGTGAGAAAGTCCTTCTAGATGTGGACATGAATGGACAAAAGGTCTTCTAAGAAGCCCTGAAGGGAAAACACTAAATGATGGGGGCCAAACCCAGGAGTGGTTTTAACAATTGAATAGATGAGATAGCTGAGTTCTTCCTGGTTACTGGCATAGATATGCCCAGAATCCACAAAATATAGAGGGTTATTCATACAGAATTGCATGCATTTTCTACGAAAAGCCTCTTAAGAGTCAATCATCTGGGCGTAGTAAATGATATTCCCTTTTTCTTAAAATGAGTCGTGATTGGTGCTATAGTCTTTATAAAAACTGTGGAGAGAGCTGCGTGATTGAATTCTGTAGAGGAAACGGTCCCTGCCCACAATGAGTGAGTGAGCTTCTGATGATGCAATTTGATCAAATCAGGGAATTAAGCACCTCTAAGTTCACGATGCAAATGACTGTTGAAGGTGCAGGAGTCCTGCAGATTAGTAAGTGGCTGTTTTGATGCGATATGAAAAATTATGGCTCGAAGGACTGACCATACCAAGTGTGGCTAGACAACTAGAGTGCATTACTCTGGGAATATAATTTACCTTCTCTACTCATCTGAGCTACCACTACTTGAGAATGACACAGCCCTACTGTCATTGCAACAAGATTTGAAATGCATTTTTCCTTCTTTTCTCATCTCTTCCAGAGACTTGCTCATTTTTCCACACGTGAAATTCAGGAGAGAACTCCTTCCTGCAGCCACCTCTGTGACCTTGAGATTAGACAGTTCTAGGCCTGCACTTGCTCTCACGGGCTGTAATGACTACAGCTGTCTTCACCGAGTAAGTCACTCCAGTGCTTCAACTTCTCTTTTACACATTCCCCACAACATTCACCAGCTGAAAGCCTTCTAGCGTTGTACTTCATTCTCTGGGGAAGTTTTACCTTCTGACAACCGCTCCTTCCAGCCTTGGGCAGCTGAAGTGAAGAACTCGTTGTTGAGCGCAGAGCCACTCAGCTTCATCAAACCATCCGCCCCAACCTGGAACACACGGCAAAGCAAACAGTAGTAACTAGTGGGAAAGGCAAATGTCACATGTTGCCACGTGGGATCTGAAAGCAGAGCAAGAGTCCCAACATTGCCACAAATCTCTGTTGAATCTGCCTTTAACTCACTCAGAAGAAAATAAACAGCATTCTTAAGGCTGTGCTTAGCCAAGTTTGGGATCCAGGAGACTGTGGCAAGTTGTCCTCATCCTTGCTTCAGCCCAGTCCTCTACAGCCCTGCTGCTGCACACACATGCATGGTACAGGTGGGAGGGAGAGCACAAGGGACCAGAGCAGCGCAGCCTCTGGAAAGCTGCTTCAGACGCACTTTCCCCTGCAAAATGAACGCACGGTATTGCCTGAACTACCATCCAAAGCAACAGCTCTGCTGCCTTCTGCGCAACATAAAAAAGTGCAGGAAGAAAAAGCAAGGAAATAAAAGGTATGATATAAAAGTAACTTTGAAATGTATTTAATCATAACCATGCATGATTCAGGAAAAACAGGGACAAATGAAGCTCAAAACCCATTCTGTCTTTAAAATAGAGTTAACCGAACAGGGCGGTCAAGCTATAGAGTAGGACATAAATGAGAAAGCATGAGGCTAAGACTGGAACGTAACACGCTGGGAAATTATAACCAGAGTAATAAAACTTGTATCAGGTTTGCTTTTGCTCTTTATCCCACAGAAGTAAATGTGGAATTTCTCTGCCAGAAACACAAAAGTACACCTATCATTCAGTAAGTCGCAAAAACTTGCAGTGGGTGAAACTGATGTGCTGCCATTTCTTGCATAAATAATAAATCAGAACGAACAATCAAAATCCAACTGTCCAAATGCAGGATACATCTGATTACACTGGGAGAGCTGTGCAGCAAATGTTCAACTGTGCAGGGTTTGGTAGAGAGAAACACTGCTTTTCCTGAGGCAGCATTTGTCATGCAGGGAATTCAAATGATGGAGGTGACCTAACAGAAGGCTTTTAGGTAAGATTTAGTTAGGAATTTGTAAGTTCTAAGTTAGGAGCAGCCACTATAGGGATTTACAAAAGCAGAGACTTATTTCCCAGTCTAAATCTCTACAGGGAGCGGGATTCACAAGACTGTCCTCTACCACACATACAGTGTTGCCCGTTTCTCGTGCTGGAGGACCGACAACTACCACAGGGCTGACTGCGTCCTGCCTCAAAGTGCCCACTGTCCCTCCTACAGAAGCACCAGCTGCAACAGCTCAGACTGAGTCACTGCCAAGCAAAACACAACAGATACGTGACCTTTCACAACTGGCACTGCCAACGCCTTCACCTCTTCTCCTGTGTACTACAGCAAGCCTGACGCTTTTTAGAGCACGCCTCGCCACTTGATGTGGTGGGCTGCTCTAGGAGATCTGCTACAGTGAAATGTAAATTTTGTCCTCTTTGGAGCCAAGCAATATCATTCAGTTAGTCAAAATTTGTTCTCAGTCAAATTCTAATTCAATTTAAGGACAATTAAACTTACAAGTCAGGACAGAAATGTCTTGCCATCTGCTGTGAGGTTCTTGCCAGTAAACTCCAGCTGCAAACTCCATCACATCATATTTTGACACATACCTAATTATTACAAAGGCCACAGGACTTATAAAACAATTGCTTCAAATATTTATTGGATCAGCCTTGGACTAACAAGTCCCTGGTGAATGCTGATTGAAGATTAGAATTTATGAGACAACATAAAATGTTAGAACTCCCCCTAACTCCAAACCGACACTCTCTGTTCAGCAAAGCATCCTCCGTAAAGCAGACCCATGCAGCTGCCAGACCCGTACGCGTTATTAACATTCTGTGAGAACCAAACGAGCAGCACAGCTGTGGGATGTAACTTCACAAAATACGGATGTCAGCGCTATTCGTGTCGACGGCTGAGCCAGTGTCCCTTCACAGTTTATAGAGGCTGAGTCAACTGAGTGTAGGGAGGTGGGGACTCAGTTGGTGAGAGGGCTGGACAGGCTGGGAGAGTTGGGGGGGTTCAGCCTGGAGAAGAGAAGGCTCCGGGGAGATCTTATTGCCGCCTTCCAGTGCCTAAAGGGGCTCCAGGAGAGCTGGGGAGGGACTTTTTACTGGGGCATGGAGTGATAGGATGAGGGGGAATGGCTTCAAACTGGAAGACAGGAGATTTAGATGAGATATTGGAAAGAAATTCTTGACTCTGAGGGTGGTGATCCCCTGGGGCAGGTTGCCCCGAGAAGCTGTGGCTGCCCCATCCCTGGAGGTGTTCAAGGCCAGGTTGGACGGGGCTTGGAGCAACCTGGGCTGGGGGGAGGTGGCCCTGCCCAGGGCAGGGGGTGGACTAGATGGGCTTTAGTGTCCCTTCCAGCCTAAACCATTCTGTGCTTCTATGATTCATCTCATCCTGAAGCAGACACCTGTACTCGGTCACAGGCTCTTGATTGTACCAACTGGATTTCCACTTTCTGTAAAAGGAGCTCAGAGTAACTAGCTGAGATGTAGACTCCTGGGACGTGACTGTGGAGTGTAAACATCGGCATCTCGTACTAATCTGAACACCACACAGAAAAATGTCTTCAAGGGACATGCAGATCTGAGACAGGACATACAGAAGATTTCCATCTGGAGTGGCAGCTTGAAGCCAGCTTTGATATCTAAAGAACATTTAAAATGGCTCTAGGCGCATATGGTTAAGGCATCTGAACTAACACCTCTACAACTGAAGTGGAAGCACAGTGCACAATCCCACTTTGCTCCGAAGCTCCCAGCCAGTTGGGGCAGGAAAGCTGAAGACAAACATAACGTACGAATAAGGTAAAAGGAAGGAAGGAAGGAAGGAAGCATCCTTGTTCTAGCTACAACTTGTCTTGTATTGAGCATAAACAGATTGAACTTCACTTCCTCAACTCATTGTTTTTTCCTCCTTTTACATGGAAGTGCAACATTTGTTCTTTTCTGGTCTCTTAGTTTCATCCCTTCCTTCCCCAAGCCGCTGAAGAAAACTGCTGTAGCCGTGAGGTTGCTTCAGGCAGTTCTTTTATGTACCCTTGAGGATGAAATTCATCAGGTCCAGCTGAGTTGAAAATAACTGTCCTACCAAAAGAGACTTGTAGCTGTTCTTTCGATGCTGAAGGCTGAGTTCTTACCCTCTTGTCACTTATGTTAATTGTTCCAGTTATCACCAACTGTTTAGCAAAGAGCTCGGTGAAAACCTTCCCTCTTTCTCTGTGCCACTCCCAGCGCAGATGAACCCATTCCTCCCCACTGAGTACTTTTCTGCTTTTGCACATCCCTCTCTTCACACACGAAGAGGTCTTAGACAGACAGCCCACAAAAATAAGCTGCCTTCAAGGCTGGCTGACGCTGCCTGCTTGGTACCTTTCACCCAGCGGGTGTTTCAGGGCAGGACACAAGCTCTTTGGAGCAGGTCAAGTCTACTCTGCGATCTGGACAGTGTGAATATGCACTAGGAAACTCAGTCAGTTTTACTTTACCAAATTCAGAATCTGACAGCAGTAACACAAGGTAATGAGAAATGAGAATGATGGAACTATGGCTGCATCTGTTTAGGTGTTCCGGGGTAAGGCACCAGTCTAAAAGGCTGCAAGGTTAATCCTGTATTGAAGAGTCTGGGAGAGGGCAGGAGAGGGGAAGGTGCTGAAGCCATCACTCCTGGCCCTCAAGTCCAACATAACAGATACACTGCTCTCGCTGTGGCTGGGAATATGGAGTTGATTAAACAGAATTAAGCCACTGGTTTATCAAACCTCAATTCTTTTTTTTTCCTGGCAGCAGCGAATACCCAAACAAATCACTGAAGAATCTTCCGATTTTTTTACACCGTGTACGGAAGAAAAAGTCTATCCCACTAGACATAAACACAGTATTTGGATGCCTAGTCTGAATTACTGCTGGAGAGGCTCCCTACTGACACTTAAGAGCCCAGCTTCTCTCCGCAACAGAAACCCCGACGTACCTGCCTGTCCACCTCCGGCAGCAGCAGCAGCAGGCTCTGCTGGCATTCTGTAGGCAGAACAGAGAACGTGTGCTTGTTGATCAGCGCCCGCAGGTTTGTGTTCACGAGGATGGAGTCGGGAGTTTCCACATCAATTTCAGCACATTTTGTTCTCTTCAGCTGCCCTGCAATGAACCACAAAGACGTAAGTAACATCTTACCTATGAGAGGATTAAAGGCTCCACTGTACCCGAGATTTTCAAAATCCCACCTTGGTAATCCATTTCATACCTTGACTTGAAATATATGTTTTACCTTTGCACACACAGTTAAAAACAACATGTGGGAGTTTCCAGCACAGAAAATTTCCATACCTAATATATTGTAGCCTGCGTCAGTTCACCTAACTTTTGTAAGAATCCTGCCTACCTGGGGACTGGCAAGGAGTCTTTTTCAGGAGGGTTTCTAGAACTGCTTTTAGCCACATCAATTTTCTATTTTAAGCCTCTAGTTAAGGTCAGTTTGTTCCTCTGGATTTCTTCTTGGACTCTCCTACTTCATTCTCAGCAAAAGCACTTCAGAAAAAATCATCAGCTCATTGTGCTTGTGTAGAAACCACAAGACTAGACAAAGCAGTACAAATGAGTAACTATTCTCGTTCCTCCTCCGTGTTTGAAAGCCAGCAAGTCCAGCATTAACCCGTATCCTACAGCCAGCTTCATGTATGTGCTGCAAATTCAGAGAAGAATAATGAAGAAGGCATTTGTATTGTGTACTTTATTTCCTTTGGATTCATCCACTGTCTATTACTGGCAAAACACTGTGTGTTTTGAAGCTTAGATTAAAAGTGCATTACTAGCAAAATGGGTAATACCAAGACTGACCCTGGCTCCCCCTGACTTCAGGGATGACAGCAATTATTTTTAAGGTGACAGCACCTAACAAAATAAATGCCACGGAGGCTTGTTTCATCGGGGGAAGCGTGCTCTATTAGAAGTCATTCAGAAAACAGCTCTGCAGGTTTATAATCTACTGAAGTTGCAGAATTTCCTAGTTACAGGGGACAAATGAAACGCCCTGAGAAGTGCTCGTTTTCACCAATCTGGGATGATTAGCATAGACAGAGACCTCAGAATAGCCTTAAGTTCACTGAGGTCAATTCCATCATTGGTATCTGTAAAAGAAACCACAAAAGTTCGAGAAAGCTGAGAAAGACCGAACTTCAATAAACGGGCAGGAAGCCAAATAACTGTGGGGCCTGAAGTATAAAGATCTGGGAAGGAATTTCTTTTTTCTTTTTAATGTTATCAAAGTGTCTTAAGTACATTAAAAAGCCTGCTAAATAATGCAAGTCCTTTTTTTGCTTCTCAAACAGCAAGCTGCAAATTCACAGGCAGAAACCCCCGATGACAAGAAATGAGAAAAGGCGTATTTGCATATGTAAGGTTTGAATTATTTATCCTAATTGACACAACATACTAGCAGCACCTTCCAGAGTTGTCCAGAAGTCACTTTAGCAATGTAATTAATTACGCATTTTACCCAATTTTGCTGTTTAAGCTTTTGTTCTGTCATCAGAGCAACCAAATCTCTGTAAGCAGAAAAATAAATATCTTACTTGCATGGAGCCTGTCAGATCTCTGGAATGGTTTCTTCCCCAGCCCTGGCAAGGAGTTATCAAGCTTAACAGAAGGAGAGGAACTGGAGGTGGAGTTCTGAGGGCTGCTTGACTGTCCATCTGACTGCTTGCCTTCCCAAGCTGCACAGGAAATTGAAACATTTAAACACCGGGACGTACAAAGAAATATCACACGAGACATCTGCTTGGACTGAAATAAAGATTCTTTAACGTGCACACCCTAATCCCAGCAGCTCTGGGACAAGCACTTCTAGGACACTTCTCTTCTTTTATTCTTGCAGCATTCAGTTCCCAAGGGGGTGAAAGTAGAAGACCCCTTTGTAGCTATCAGACCATCACAAAATAAAGGGACGGACGGCCATTTCTTTTACGGTTTGAGTCTATTTCCCAGCTAGTCCCATCTTATTTCCTGTCTATATCCAAATCCAGTAATGATCTTGTTAAATCTTCCTTTCAGAGGCAGCTTTAGTTTCTGTTAGAGTTCACTGTTAGGAAAAATCTTCGAGTGTACGTTCTAAATTTTAACCTACTATTGTAGCTTTTGTTCTTTTAGACCACCCTCAGTAATTCCTCCTCCTCTTTCAAATACTCAAGAGGTATTTTCATGTCCTCCTCCAAAGTCACTACTTAGCCAAACTAGACAGATTTCACCACTATGATTCCTCCTTACAAATCACTGCCACCCACATTCCCTTTTGTATAGCAGTATTTTTTCTGCCCGTGGGAAGAGCTTCTTCCCTACATTCTCCCTGCCTTCCTTTGCCTCCTCTTCTTCAGGGAGATGAATTAAGAACACGAGTTGGTCTTCGCTCCGCTCTCTTTAGGTTTACGTGTAATAACAGCTACTCACTCAAGTATGGAAAGGTACTGAAGTCCCATACCGCAAAAGAGAAACTCCACAATACACGTGATTAAGTCACAAAATAAATGAATGCTGGCCCTGATTAACGACTTGCACTAATCAATTCCGATGATCCGAGGGCTGGAGCACCTCTCCGATGAGGAGAGGCTGAAAGAGTTGGGGCTGTTCAGCCTGGAGAAGAGAAGGCTCCGGGGAGATCTTATTGCCGCCTTCCAGTGCCTAAAGGGGCTCCAGGAGAGCTGGGGAGGGACTTTTTACTGGGGCATGGAGTGACAGGACGAGGGGGAATGGCTCTAAACTGGAAGAGGGCAGGTTTAGATTAAACATTAAGCAGAAGTTTTTCCCTGTGAGGGTGGTGAGGCACTGGCACAGGTTGCCCAGAGAGGTTGTTGAGGCCCCATCCCTGGAGGTGTTCAAGGCCAGGCTGGAGGGGGCCTTGGGCAACCTGGGCTGGTGGGAGGTGTCCCTGCCCAGGGCAGGGGGGTGGAACTCGATGATCTTCAAGGTCCTTTCCAACCTAAACTATTCTGTGATTCTATGAATTCCTTCACCCAGTCTGTGCCAGATTTGTTCCCCATCTGCCTTTCTTACTCTCCTCTCTGCCCGTTTTTTTCCCCCCTCCTTCCCTTCCTTACGGTAGCTGTTCCAGTACCACTAAATACATCCCCGAAATTGTGGAATCAGTGTTGCTTTCTATCAGAATATTGTTCTCTCTCCACTTGTATGCTTAATTTACTTCTTCATCTCAATATATCCTCCTGTCCCAGCTGTGAGCTATTTCTATGTACTATCATGTGGACGGGAGAGGAAAAAAGGACTCCACGGATGCTGATGAAAAACATACAAACGCCACTCGTGTTGCAGTAACATTCAAAGGCTTTTACAGTAATCAATTTACAGTCTAACCGGGGACTGCATAAACACACGCTGTTCCTACCCTACATCAGTCGAATAAGACCATAGCAAAAGCTGAGGAATACGGCTTTCCTGAGACCACATGTGAAACCAGTGCGATCCTTCACTCCTTTTGGTCCCTCACAACCTTTAAGGTAGGAGAGCTCACGTGGCTGGATGCTGGCATGGGTAGATACCAGCTCTTCGGGAAAGACAGGCAAGGGAGACGAGTTAAGAAGGTCGTCTCTATCCATACAAGCCTACAGAACAACAGGAGTTGAACCCAAGGGTCCTGGGGGAACCCACCAGTGTCCTTACAAGGCCTCTCTACCATCTCTGAAAAGAGATGAAGATGGCAGGAGATTTCCCACAACTAAGAAAAGCAAATGTTGCACCCACTTTCAAAAAGGGACAAATACACAACCTGAGAAAAAACGGACTGGTTAGCCTCAATTTTCTCCCTGGGAAAATCACATAGTGACCCCTCTTGGAGCACATTTCTGATCACACAAAGGAGATAAAGATGACTGCAGGCAGTCAGCAGGGATTTACCATGGGTAAATCATGCCTGACCAGCCTGATTGCCTTCTGTGATCAAATGACTAGATTTATGGATGAGGGAAGAGAGACGGATGCCTTTTACTTTGACATTCAACGTTGTGTCCCACAATAGTGTGCATGAGCTGGGACATGAGGGTCTGGATGGGTGGACAACCAGATGGGTAAGCAGCAGGTGAGGTGGCAGGCTTGGAGAGTCATGCTCCATCTTTTGCCTGGAGGCTGGTAACGACTGAGCGCCTCAGGGTGCTGGTCCTGGTTCACATTGTTACTGAGGGAGGCAATGGAGCACTTGCTCAAGTTTGCAGGTAGTGCCAAATTTTCGGCGACCAGCCACTCTCCTCTGCTGTTCCTCCAGCAGAGCTGCCACCAGTGGGACTGAGGCACGCCGGAGGAACAGGCCAGCAGGAACCTTGCAAGGACAAAGGCAAAGTCTGCCCCTGGAAGGCAGAGCCCCTGGCAGTGACACAGGCTGGGGGCAGCTCTGCTGGAAGGGACATGAGAGTCCTGGCAGACACAAGCTGAACTTGGGCCCTGGCACCAAAAGCCAACAGCATCCTGGGCTGTAGGACCACAGCCAGCAGATCGAAGATCCCCCTCTGCTCAGCACTCATTAGCCCACACCTCAATTCCATGTCCTGTCCCGGGGCCTCTAATACAAGGAAGACATGAAAAGCAGGAGCGAGCTCAGCTGAGGGCCACCAAGACGCTCAGGGGACTGCAGCACTTGCCCTGTGAGGAGAGGCTGAGGGACTGGGGCTTGTTCAGGCTGGAGAAGAAAAGAGGCTGAGGGGCACCTGATAGGCACCACCCTGCTCCTGCAGGGAGGCCAGCAGGAAGATGGAGCCAGGCTGGTCACAGCGGTGCGCGGCAGGAGGATGAGAGAAAACAAGCAAGAGTCAGATGGGATGTAAGGAAAAATTTTATCCCCGTGAGGACAGTCGGGCAGTGGAGGGGGGGCCCAGAGAGGCTGTGCCATCTCCATCCTTGGAGGTTTCCAAGACCAGACTGGCCAGAGCCCTGAGCAACCTGGGGGAGGCCGAGCTGGCCCTGCTGTGAGCTGGAGGTTGGACTACAGGCCTCTTTGAGGTCCCTACCGACATGAATGGTCCTATGATTCTAACATATTTTCAGAGTAGTACTAGAAAGGCTGGGTAAGTGGTCACACAGAACGTATGATACCTTACCACCACAATGCAGCAGCAAAATATGGGGAAGTCAGAGAAAAAAAAATAACAAAAATTAAATAGAGATGCGGGAAGAAAACAGTTGATCCATGATTAGAGTGCACGTGGCAATAGTTTGGGAAACGTGAAATCAAAATAAGGAGAGAAATCGATATGCCATGACCTCCTGCCCCAGAGGCCTGACATGCAGTGCCTGGGAAGGGCCAGAGAGCAGGTCTCCCACAGCCCGATTCTGGCCATACCCGGGAAAGGCAAAAGCCTCGTTAGAATCACAAAAAGACACCAAACAATACTTTAAGTACTCTAAGTAACATGAGTTTGGATTACTTACTCAATTAGTCTATTTTAATAATTACTCTATGTTAGCTAACAATCTTACAAAATATCCTACCTGTTTCAGTCCCTCTTAGGTCTCCCCTGTTCCTACTTCCCTAAGTGAAGATGCAATTCCTCCTGGGGCAGGGAGCTCAGGAGATGGGGTCCTCCAGGAACGATATCTGCCTGTTGTGCTAATGAACCATTCAGGTTTAATCCTAGTTAGCAGAGAAATTGCAAAAGGCTTTTAAACTATCATTTTATGCTAAAGACTTCATGTACCTGGCACCGCATTTTCTTAAAACCGTCACGGGAAATGTGTAATTTTCTACTGGATTAATTTCTGCTTCCATCTCAGACCACACCAGCCTAGGTGTAAAGGGCACAAGCACAGCTTAGGACTCAATTTCACACAAGCAAGATTACATTAACCTTCTTCCCCTTAACCTCTTTGAAAGGGTCTGAACTACAAAGCTGCCTGGCAACAACAGGCAACCTCATCAACTGTTCAATACTTACTCTGCTATTAAATGATGCATGAAGTACAGCTGCTAAATATGCTTGTTCCTTTCAACTGGATATATGGCGCATAGCCGCAACCTTGCATATGCCTGAACAGATGTTACAAGAAACATTCCAGCAGTGTATAACCAGCAAGCCAGGACAGAGTGGTCTAGTTTTGGTTTGGATTTCTTTAGAGTTATTTGGAAAGGGAGAATAAACAAACACACTAAAACACCGAAAGAATTTTATACTAACGAAAATCAGCATGAGATGAGGAAACATCTCCAATTATGCAAAAGGCAGTAGGGAGAAGAAATCAAATAACCTGCACTCTGTGTCCAGGGTGGATAGGACAGGAAATCTGGGGTTTAAACCCAAGGAAGCAAGAAAAGATTCTGATTAGAGGCTAAGAAAAACATTTTAAGGAGAAAGTTCACAAAGCAGGAAGGGCAAGACTTGCTGGGAGTTTTGGTCTCTGCATCAACGGCGTCTCTCAGAACAGACTGAAGAAAACATCTATCAGGAATGCATCGTAGCTCCTGCTCTGAGGAAAGGATGTGGACTAGATGAGCTCTCAAGGCTACTCCTAGGTGTAGTTTCTGATGGCTCTATGACATTTCTTAACCTGACCAGTGAATTTCAGCCAAACATTCATGTAATTACACCAAGAATATCCAGGAGCAAAATGTTTTCCATGCCAATATTGTCTTATTGCTGTTGTCTAATCCTCTCTGGCTACTCCTACACTAGTAAACAGAACGGTGACATCGGGCATTCCCCTGGCCCTAAGAACAACCGGCCGTGTTCACACCCTTACGCTTTCTGTCTCTCCAGGCGGGATTGCCCACGTTCCAGTTGCCTGTAGGGAATGATGGTTGTCCTGTGCTGAACACCAAGCCGTGCCAAGGACTGCCTAGGAGACCGCTAGCTTGTCCTGAGCCAAAGCGACGTCAGGGAATTGAGCAGAATGCATTGACTGAGTGCCAGCTCCTATGCCCAGTACTTTGGTGGTGATTAACTCAGTAGCAGAGATGCTGTTTCTCTCTCTCCGCATGCAGGTGTTGTCCTAAGCACAGGCTTGTTGCCTGAAGGACTGACTGGATGGGGAAGGAGTTGTGGGACTGGCAAGAGATGCTGTTAATAGATGCGATAAGAAGAAAGAAGGCACACCTTTGTTCAGTAAGGTAATGGGTTGGTATTACCCATGTTATCAAGCTTTACCAAAAAGGAATTTTTAAGACTGAAAATAACTTAGGATTTGGGGTTGGAAATTTAATTTTGTTGTGATCTGATCACTTGCTTTTCCTTTTTTGGGGCAAGCTTCACGACTGCCAGTCTCAGCCACTCCATCTGTGAGAGTACACCTGACAGAAGTCTTTTAGAGTGAGCATTCTTGCTGTGCCTTCCTCAACGGTTACATGTCCATGATCGTCATCTTGCTGGGATGAATCACGACCAGTCAAGTAAATCAAGCATGAAGGATGGAGAAACAGGGTAATTACTGAAGGGGAGGGAATTTCCATCTCATAGAAGTGCCTGAGTTTGACAGATAGCACCGCATTTTACCCATGACAATTAGTGTAACAGATGGGGTCTAAGGGTAGGGACTTCAGAATTACGCACAGCTTAAACAGGCAGGGACTGTGTACGTGTTGCAGAAGACAGTGAAGCAGGATTGGAATCAGCAGGACTGTGAAGCAGACGAGGAGACTGTTGTTTTTTGGAAGAGATCTCAGCCTCAAAAAGCCAGCCCTCTTTTCCTCTTGTACACAATGTTGCTGATCCCACCCCTGCCTCTCCCTGCTCCGTACCACATGTACTAACCCCGTGCACCTAAATTCTGGTTATTTCTTAGGTCCCAACACCTCCCCTCCCCATTACAGCTGCAGAAGGACTTAATGACAATGAATGGCTGAGTGATAAAAGCATAGATATGATTCACTGTACAGAAACACAAAGTGATGTACAAAAAGCACTCCTGTAACCTTACATACATAGTGTTGGGTGCTAAAACAGGAAATGACAACTCAGGAAAGAGTCTCAGAATCTCAACAGTTCTAGGAAAATGCCTGCTCTTGGCAGAGTCAAAATAAACCAAACTGAATGCTAGGAATTCTTAAGAAAAGATGAACAAAATACAGAATACCAAAATTATGCAATACAAATTCAGAATGCCTCTTGCACCCTGAATACTACGTACAGTTTTCATTTGCTATTGCAAAAAGCATACAGCCTTCCATATGAGGAATGAGAGAACACGGTAGGACTATTCAGATTGAAGAAGAGATGTCTACAAAAGTCATGAGTGGCAAGAAGCTGTTGAATAAACAATAATTGTTCATTGCCTGTTTGATAATTAGAAGGAATCAAATAAAGGCATAAGGAACCTGGCTCAAACCAAACAAAAATTAGTGGTTTTTACAGTGTGGTGTTTGCCACAAAGCATTTACAAAGTCAACATTCCCACCCCTTCTGTTAAGCAAATCCACTGCGGAAAATCCCACCAAGTCCGTGAAATACAGACACCTCCTCTTGCTTTGGAGGTCCCTGAGCACACCACACCTAATTCTGGGAGAGCACTATACGTGCCTACCCTGCCTTTCCACGCTTCCTGCACGTGCTATCAGCAGTGTGGGACACAGGTCACCGGGCCAGACGTGTTTGATGTGATCTGACAGGCCCGCTGCTCTGATGTCTGCCGTAGACTATGAAGAAAAGCAAATTGGTTCTCAGTGATGTGGGAGACAGTACAGAGCCACTACTGGTAATGTTTACAGATGACTTGAAAAATTGTGGATTGATAAAATAATGATGGCATTAGTCTACAAAGTCATTTATTTGTACAACATGAAAATCGGTCTATACAAACAAAGAGGCATTTCTTGCATCTAAAAGCAAACAACTTGAGTCATGCTCACAGAACCAGGAGCTTATAATGGAAATCAGTTACACTGAAAAGAATTTAGAGAAAACTAACTACAAGTAACTACCAAGAATTTATGACAACTAGTGAAATGTTGCTGCTGGTAAGGGAGCTAATGCACTGTTGAATGAAGAGGAGAAAAGCGGTGATCTCATTAATTTCTACTGCAGCATAAATGCTGGAAACCACTTGGGGATCCTTCAGATCAGAACATTCTTTGGAACAAGACATGAAAGCCACACTACAGAATGAGGAGCCACTTTGGAAAGAAATGAATACTAAGAGAAACACCACCTGATTTGCTTAGCCATGAGAAGTACCTGACTGCAGTGCACAGACAACTATTGGGGAAGACATTTATCACAGAAAAAAGCTTTTAAACCAGACAATGGCACAATAAGATCTATTCAAGATTATTCTTAACTGAATGCTTCCCTAATAAAATCAAAGCCAGGAGAATAGAGGCTAGACTATTTCGGAAACAAAAAGAATGCCACATGAAAAGAGCACTTTCTTCTCTCATCCCCTAAGAGGAAGAAAAGGCAAGTTAGAGAGACAGGACAGTAAAAGAACACATAGGAGTGTCACTGCCACGTACCAGATTTTGCCGACGTGGAGTCACTGGCTGCCTTGACAGCCTTCAGAAGGACGTGCTGATTAGAGGACACGGGCATGCCGGCTCTGCATTGCTGCTGCTGTTGCTTTTGCTGCTGCTGTTTCAAGGCCTGGGGAAGAGGACAGAAAAACATGACCAAAGAGAAATTCAAAATATTCTTAGAAATTATAAGCACACAGTACAAACCGCTTGTTTAGAGTGGAGATACTTGGATTCTGATTCTAACTACGTCAAAAGTTCAAAATGACTTCGGAAACACATTCAGTTCACATGGGACACTGATTCTGTCTATGTAAATACTTTAGTACAAGCAGACAGATTCCCTACCTTTGCATCTAAAGCAAAAAAGTTAATGGCTCCAGAATGTCTTAAGTTGTGTCATTTCACGAAAAAAATGATATCTAGAGAATGCAAAGAGAAAGGATTCCAAATCCAGAGTTGGTTTAAGAAGTAATTATAGAAATAACTTCAAAGTACCGTAATATAACTCATTTCCGTCTCCTCGAGAAGCAAGTAGCAACTTACTAAAAAGCCTTCAACAGAGATGCTGCTCATTAGAAAGGACTTTTTTAATTAGCAGAGTAACAGCAATTACAACACTAAAGGGAAGAAAATAAAATCCTTTGTTTCAGAAAAGACTGTTAGAGCAACCATAACACAGCCTAAAAGGCACAAATGACTAAGACAAGGAAGTAAGAAGGCATTGGTTAAACTGCAGCATTTACCCAAACCAAAGTGTCTGTTTTCAGACAAATAAACTGCACAGCAGAATAAGTTATGACAGATCAAGTATATGGTACAATTTCAAAATAGGAAGTAACGGGAAATATGCTGCATATATAGAAATGAGTGGGACTGTTAACTAGAGATCATTGCTATCTTAAAAACAACAACAACAACAATAATAATCATACAGTTAAAACTAGAGGAGAGAATAAAAATATGCAGAAACTTGCAGAATCTGCCATATGAGGAAAACATAAGACAGACAGACTTTCAGTTTGTAAAGACACGAATGAGGGAGACTGAGAACAAAAGGATACAGATAACGGACGGACACGTTAGCTTCCTATTTTCCAATTTATTAAATAGTTCCTGTTTAGCCATTTCTACCACAGGTTAAAAAAAAACAAAACATTCAGCCAAACTGAAACACAGCAAAATCAAAAACCAGTAAGAGGAAGTATCCTCTGCAACACACAATTAACCTCCTGTTATTGAGGTCAAAACCTTTTACAAAATCAGAAAGATAAAAGACAGACCTCGCATTCATACCAGTAACAAACATCCACAAACACGTTCAAGAAAGCTTTTACAAATTCTTCTTTGGTTTGAAGATGAACTGCCGGCAACAGTGAATGTCCAGAAAGTGCTGGGCTATGAAGACCACTAGCATGTTCAGGGGGTTGTGCGAATCCCGTACTTCCATTAAGCAAATCACTTCAAATATTTAAGGGTTTGTGCATTCAGTTCACCCATTCTGTATGCCATTTAATTGCTGCATTTTTCTCAGCTTAGGTAAAAGAATTCTGCTGTTGTTCATTGTGCCACCTCAGTTCTCGGTCACGCAGCACCTGAGGTGCCCACGCCAATGGTGGCTGAGGCATGTGTGGGAAGAGGAGGAAACAATTATTCATTAGATACATCTTTTTAAATTCCGTGTCAGCTTTGCACTTATGTTCTCTCTTATAAATATTTGCGGGCTTCTTTAATACATCTAATTTATATTGAGTCTTGTCATAATCACAGAGTAATTCTGGCGGGAAAGGACCTCGGGGGGTCTCCAGTCCAACCTCCAGCTCACAGCAGGGCCAGCTCGGCCTCCCCCAGGTTGCTCAGGGCTCCGCCCAGTCGGGTCTTGGAAACCTCCAAGGCTGGAGATGGCACAGCCTCTCTGGGCCCCCCCTCCACTGCCCGACTGTCCTCATGGGGAAAAAGCTTTTCCCCGTGTGTCCTGTTTTTCCTTATGCAATTCAACTTATGCCCATTGTTTCTCATCATCCCACTTCCTTCACCACACTGTGATGAGCCTGGCTTGGTCTTCTCAATAACCTGCTTGTAAATACTGGGGAAAGGCCCAGCTTCCCCATAACACCCTGTAACAGATCCAGCTCCTCCGTAACACCCCAGACCAGGCCCAGCAGCCCTCAGCTCCCCCATAACACCCAGACCAGGCCCAGCTCCCCCCGAGAAGCTGTGGCTGCCCCATCCCTGGAGGTGTTCAAGGCCAGGTTGGACGGGGCTTGGAGCAACCTGGGCTGGGGGGAGGTGGCCCTGCCCAGGGCGGGGGGTAAGATGATCCAAGGCCAGGTTAGACGGGGCTTGGAGCAGCCGGGGCTGGGGGGAGGTGGCCCTGCCCAGGGCTGGGGGTGGAATAAGATGATCTTTCAGGTCCCTTCCAACTCAAATCATTCTGTAATACCCCCCCCACACACAGCTCCCCCATAACACCCCAACACAGGCAGAGCTCCCCTCAGCTCCAGCCATGCAAGGCCCCACTCCCCCAGCCCGCCTGTCAGCAACCGGCCAATCAGGAACATGCTAACTACCCCGCATCCACCAATCAGGTGGCAGCTTCCAGGCGCCCCAGCTGTGGAAGCCTCAGCAGAGGGTCCCGCAGAGGGTCTGGGTCTGTCAGCGGTCTCTCCCTCTCAGAGGGTCTCTCTCTCTCAGGGGGCGTCTCTCAGGGAGTGTGTCTCTCTCAGAGGGTCTCTCTCTCTCTGTGTCTCAGGGGGTCTCTCAGGGAACGTCTCTCAGAGGGTCTCTCTCTCTCAGGGGGTCTCTCTCAGGGAGTGTGTCTCTCTCAGAGGGTCTCTCTCTCTCAGGGGGTCTCTCTCTCGGGGAGTCTCTCTCTTGGGGGGTCTCTCTCCAGAGCCCCCTGAGCACAGCAAACCCCTCCACCAGCGCCAGCCCACAGCCCTCCTCTAACCCAGACCTGCCTGCGTGGGTGCTCCCTCTGGGCCCCTGCGCAGGGGCTCGTTATTTTCGTTTTGTTTGCCTTTAAGCTGTCCTTTGTCGCTGGGCCGCCCTCAACGGAGGGCAGATGTTCCTCAGCACACAGGTGCGTTCGCACAAAGGGCAGCTCTGAGGTAACCCCCCCACTGTCGAGGGCGGAAACCACCACTTTATTCTATGGAGTTGAAGAAGAGCGTAATTCAAGATGGCGCCATCCAGTCAGTATCATCAGCACCGCCTTTAATTGTTATTTAAACAAAGACCTTATGTCAGCAGCACGCTCCTCCCTGCCCGCTCCACCGCGGGTGATGGCAGCAGGACCGGGAGCTGCTCCCGCGCACCCACCTCTTGCTCTGCACCTGCCGACGGTCTGTGCTAAGGATGGTAAAAGCCCACGGGGATGCACTTAATGGGGAAAAAAATCTGTACTGTCCACCTCCCTTCTTCGCAGAAAAGGTGACAAAGTGACCGTTCACCAACTGGAGAGCTTTCGTAGGGTGCACCCAGCCCAGTCCCTGGCCTTAGTCGTTCCACGTATGCGGCCACAAATAAAAGTGTAGTGGATAATGATGAAAGCCAACGGTATAAACCACAGCAGAGGGTGTAATTTCTAATCTTAAAACACCGTGATGAGATCTGGATGGAGGGAGGGGACCCTTCCCTCTGCGAGGCCACCCCGGGGTGGCGGGTCCAGCGCTGGGCTCCCCGGTGCAGGAGGGACCTGGGCAGAGTGGGGAGAGCCCAGCGAGGGGCCAGCGGGAGGCTGATGGACTGGAGCACCTCTGCGGTGGGGAGAGGCTGAGGGCGCCGGGACCGCTCCGCCTGGAGCAGAGCAGGTCGGGGGCTCCAACCCGTGCGGATGGACCCCTGCGGGGGGGACGGAGAAGGGGGAGCCCGGCTCTGCCGGCGGTGCCCAGTGCCGGGACCGGGGGCACAAAATAAGAAATTCCGTCTGAATACAAGATGCACTTTTACTGTGATGGTGCCCGAACACTGGCACAGGTTGCTCAGAGAGGCTGTGGAGCCTCCCTCCGTGGAGATATTGAAAAGCTGTCTGGACACGGCCCTGCACAACCGGCTCTGGGTGACACTGCTTGAGCAGGGGGTTGGACCAGAGGGACGCCAGAGGTCCCTTTGAAGCCCAAGCTATCGGGGTTTCTGTGATGCTGTGAATCCTGATGGCACTGGGACGGCTGCTCAGGCTAGGTAAGGATGGGATGAGGTCAGCGGATTGGAGAGGATCAGAGGAAAGAATTAGAGTAGTACCTGCATTTTCCACCGATGGGTGAGAAACCACCCATCTGCCTGGATCTGGATTGTAAATGTCAGAGTCTCAGTGTGGTGGTTTTTTGTATCAGCACACACGCGCTGTAACAAAGGGGGTCTCTCCCCATGACTGTTCCATCTTCCCAGCAGGATGAGCGCTGACATATCTCTGCCAATTTAGATTCGGGTATTGCAAACCCCTAACTCAGGATTTTTCCAAATGATTGTAAGAAACGCAGCTGTCTGCTTACTTACTGTGTGGTGATGGCACACCACTGCACACCATATTATTTGGCTGTGTTTTATGGTTTTAACTCTGATGTGTTTATGAACTAAATTCTGATCCTTATTTCTTAAAGGACCTGATACTTATCATCAGTACAGCGGCAGCACCATGTTCCAGGGTTAAAAGTTCTCTGTTGTGATGGAAGATGATGACCAGCAGAAGCGGCATTTTGCCACGCAGGCAGCTGCAGAACTGCTGAGTACAAACAGGTATGCTACGCAGAAACCAGGACCGGTCCCCCCCCGGTGCAGGAGGGACCTGGGCAGAGTGGGGAGAGCCCAGCGAGGGGCCAGCGGGAGGCTGAGGGACTGGAGCACCTCTGCGGTGGGGAGAGGCTGAGGGCACCGGGACCGCTCCGCCTGGAGCAGAGCAGGTCGGGGGCTCCAACCCGTGCGGATGGACCCCTGCGGGGGGGACGGAGAAGGGGGAGCCCGGCTCTGCCGGCGGTGCCCAGTGCCGGGACCGGGGGCACAAAATAAGAAATTCCGTCTGAATACAAGATGCACTTTTACTGTGATGGTGCCCTCAGAGTCTCAGTGTGGTGGTTTTTTGTATCAGCACACACGCGCTGTAACAAAGGGGGTCTCTCCCCATGACTGTTCCATCTTCCCAGCAGGATGAGCGCTGACATATCTCTGCCAATTTAGATTCGGGTATTGCAAACCCCTAACTCAGGATTTTTCCAAATGATTGTAAGAAACGCAGCTGTCTGCTTACTTACTGTGTGGTGATGGCACACCACTGCACACCATATTATTTGGCTGTGTTTTATGGTTTTAACTCTGATGTGTTTATGAACTAAATTCTGATCCTTATTTCTTAAAGGACCTGATACTTATCATCAGTACAGCGGCAGCACCATGTTCCAGGGTTAAAAGTTCTCACTCAGAAATCTCTCTCTATCCTCTGGTAATATTATCATCACTTAGCGTTGAAGACAGGAGGGCTGAATCCAGCCAGCCGTCTTCTCCAGCGCACACTAGCAAATCATCTGGGTCGCAGACATAATTAAAAATATGAAAGCTTTCTTTAACTTTCGCTTCCCTCAATATCTTATGTTTTTCCTACTACTCTACTCATAACACTGCTCTCTCCTTCTTGCTATCTATATTTGCTCATTTTATCTACCTTTTATAACCTTTTCTGACCACAGTGGCAACCATGTTTAGGAACAGGTGGAAGATGCAGTATTTGGTCAGAATGGCAGAATTTCACTGGAACTAAAATTAAGCAAAGGATTAGACATGCAACGTTTTTAATTTGATCCAAAGCTAGAGCAAACTTGAGACAGGTACGTTAGAAAGACTGAATGGTTATGGTGTTCTTCAGCAACACCTTTTACTCCCGTGTGCCTAGAAGGCAAGTTATTCACTATGCTACAATTTGATGCTCTACAGAAGAGTCGAGCTCAGGGGGAAGAGCTGTTGTGATGGAAGATGATGACCAGCAGAAGCGGCATTTTGCCGCGCAGGCAGCTGCAGAACTGCTGAGTACAAACAGGTATGCTACGCAGACATCAGGGCCTCCGTGTGGTTCCCCATTTCTCTTTCACAGTTTCTGATTTTTTTTCCCCAAACCAATGAGATTAACAGTGAAACTGAGCACACTGTCTCAGTTTTGGAACTCGCTGGCTCTGATGTATTTCATTACACTTAGAGACAGTGCTGGAACAAGGGTGCTGGGGAAGTAGACAGCTCGGAGTAGGAAAGCTGGGGAGTAGAGGAGGGAGAGAGCAGAGACAGACGGGAATGAATACAAAGGTGGGGGAAAGCTGGTGGGAGCAGGAGCATGGGGAATTCATAAATGAAAAGCAGAAAATTATTAGGCATGTAAGGAGAGAGGCTGGGAAAAGAGGAGAAAAGTAGATGGAGCACAGGCTTGGAAATAGGGTAGGTTTGGAAATGGAGTGTGGCTTTGCCCAGAGATCCCTTCCAACCTGTGATTCTGTGAAACGGGGACCTGCAGACCAGAGAGAATGAAGAGGAACTGCTGAGCACGAGAGGGGCAAGAGGACTGTTAATAACAAACCTTGAGTTTGTTTGATCACTCTCTTAAAAGAGAAAAGCCTTTGCGGATGTTGGAGAGAAATGATTGCCAGCCAGGCTTAAAGAGGGATGAGGAAGGGAAAGCAGAGAGTATAATTAATATCTTGCTGAATTAGTGAGAAGCAATTTTCTGAGGATTCAAATGAAAGTGGGAGCTTGACTCTGAACTTCAGAAGAAAATTAGCCTAAAGTGACAACACAATCTCACTCCTTTATGGCAGCTATCAGCAGCACGCAACATCACAGTAACACCACTGCTTCCGTCGAGAAACAGCCAAGTGGGAAAAGAAAGAAGCGAGGAGATTCCTTAAAGCTAGCACCTCATTTTGACATCAACTCAACTCGCTCTTGCTGGAAACAAAGCTCCAGTTTGTCCAGTTGCCTTATCTTCCCCTGTAATGTTCTCCTCAATAATATGTCCTAATTAGATCCTTCTCTCTCACTGCAGACCCTTTCCCCAGGGTCGCAGGCATCTCCGTTAGCTGAATGCCATCCTGAGTGTTGCTTCTCAGCTGGAAAAAGTCAGGGAAACAGGCTGGGCTGGAAAAGGTGAATCCTATCTGGAACACATCATGATTTCATCTGTCTGTGACAAGCTTCTGTAATCCCTGGGCTAGCACCTCCTCTGCAGCGTGATTCCTAAGTCCTTACAGATTTTTTACTTTACTAAGGAATAAATCTAACCCTGATAAAGCATTTCCTTTCTAAGGATCGTGGAAAATTAAACAATGCCATTGGGGAAACACCTGCAAATAAGACACTCAGGGGACTAATTTGTCTTGCATTTTTCATTAGGAGAAACGAATCATTTGAAGTACAAACCCTTACCCATTCCATCCTGCGTGCACACAATTAACACTATCTACACAACAGTCATTCCCCAAGCATAGGAAATAATCAGCCCTCTTTCTCTTGTAACACCCAGCAGAGGTGCAATGCAAAGCCAGTGTGCCCTCCTTCCCCATCTTCCCTCCATGTATACGCGCACACTGCACCCATAGAACTCCTGGGGAGGGAAAGTATGCCGCTAACTAGGGGAAGAAGTCAGTGGATTTAATTTTTTTCCCCAAAAGACCTTCCATTTACTAAAATAGACTGCAGAAAGCTAAGCACATTCATCAAAAGGTTGGGAGAGAAGAAATATATCTGTTCTTTAATAATAATATTTAAAAAAAAATATCCAGATGCTTATTTAGGAAAAAAGCAAAGAACTAAATAGCACAGTATTTTGAACTGCCTTTAAGAGAGAGGGATGTTTTAGTGAACCTCCATTTACTGTGAGACAGCCAAGAAGTCCTGAATTACCTCCCTGCAGAGTGCAGTTTCACTGAGAAAGGCGATTTACCAGAGAAATAAAATTACTGCAATGATACCCAAACCCGGTTCCAGACCAGGCCACTTACCTGTTTGAGTGCCTTCTTGCTGTGCTTCTGGGATGAGGAGATGACTTTGCCTGTCTGGATGGAAGGTGACGGGCAGCCTGACTGCGGGGAGGATGTCTGCGACAGTCTAGATGACACTACAAAAAGAAAAAACAGCATAATCCAACCTTTATCCATTTGCCTGCAGCACGTTAGCCAGTCCCCACCATTTCAGATCATCTCACGAGGCTCATGAAAACTGCACCTCTAGCAAATGTTACTTTTCGCATGAAGAATCATTTCTGTTTCCTCCCCCCCACCAAGGCAGCTGCTCTCCTCTGAAAGCCAACAGCAATTCCTATGAACATCTTCAGATTTTTCATCTTTTTTTTTCATCTCACCTCTTCTTTTATTCCTCTTGTAAATAGCTGCTATCAAACAACACTGCAGCTTGAGAAAAGGCTTCAGGTTCAGGCAGGTTTAGCCAATTCAAATCTAACTGGAAATACAGACACGGGCAACGGTTGGCTTCATCTGGAACGACCTGTGGTCAGACACCTAACTGACAGCAGTTTCCGACCAGATTAAACCCGAATCCCACGCAAGAGCGAAAAGATAAATGACATGCAAAGGAAGTGCAACTTGACTATCACTTGCTCCTTTTTAAAAAGGACTATGGGAATACACAGGATATCCCAGTAAATGAACGTATATTCTCAGTGGATGAGCCTAGACGCTTAAAGGAATCTAGCCCTAGCCACGTGCAGTCCTACAGCAAGGCTTCTCCTCTCAGGCCATTTAGACTTTTCAGTGTTCTCATTACAACCACCAAACCAGGGGGGGGAATTAAATAACAGTGGGTGGTGTGGCTTGAACATACCTGTTTGGCACAGGATACTCAAAATGCTTTGCTCTGGCAGCACTGGGGTGATGGGACACCGCTCGGTCCCAAACTCTCCCAGTCACGGGTTTGCCCCAATTGTCTTGGCAAACGCCGACTGCACTGGCCAGCAGGCGAGGTGAACGCAGCACAGGCACCTACGCACAGCCCGGGGATCTGCACTCATGGGCTGCACAAAGCTGTCTGGCTGCTGACACTGAGATAGTACCGCCAAAAAAAAAAAAGACAAAAGCAGAAAGACATCAATTGGAATGCCTTCCATTGGACGATGGCCGCAACAAAACAAACGCCGTGTAGGCACAGCCAAGAGCATCAACGAGATGTGGCTGCACCTGCAATGAGCTCTATAGGTAAATCTCTGAGACGGCGTATGGAGGCCGCCAGTTAGCAAATTTGTGGTCTGGATTCATCTGCACGTGAATTTGTATAGATAATAATGTCCACTGTAAGCTCAAGGAAACACAAAATGAAGAGTAAAAGAATGTTTGATCCCAGGGCAGGGAGATCCCTACCATAAAAGATAATAAATAGATTCACATGTAAACTATTTAAATTACTGCTTCCTGAAGCAATTAGTTCCAGAATACATGAGGCTAAAGTCATATCCCTCTGCAACAGAAAGGAGGTAAGAGATGATGACAACAGCTCTTCGTTAACAATAGCCACAGTGTGATCCCGCTCAGTATCCACAGAGAAGGGAAGTTCCCAGAAATAACAGTACGCATCACAAAGCAACATTGCATTTAAATGCATAGAATTAGTAACAACAAATTATAAACAGTAAAGTTCTCACATGTGACACGGGCATTAAATGAAAAGAGCAAGTTTTTTAGGAGGCATGCACCACAGAGATGAGCGAATAGCAGACTCCGAAATGTCATTAAAAACAACAATACGAAGGTATGGTAGGAAACCGGTAATTTAAAAGTTGCTGACGAGATTACCAGACCCAGATGATCCACGCACATGATAAAGGTGACACAGTCGCTCAGCAAGCAGAACTACCACTCAAAAGACAAAAAAAAAAAAAAGGAAGCCTGATGTTATAGCAAGACCTGGAAAGCAAAGGTTGTATCTGTGCTTTGAAAGAGCAGCAATGTAAACTTGCGTTTGTCTCTCAATTTGGCTGAAATTGCAGTTCAAGAAGAATAAGAAGACGCTGGAAAGGTCATAGTCTGATCAGCACCTGGAGGGGAGAAGCAGATCTCACAAACTCGTTGGAATTCTCTGAATGCATCAATAAAAAGAACTGGAAGAAAAGACAGTTTTTTGCCAAGAGTTCACTCACACTTCTAGAGATTTTCAACAAAAGGCTTCTAAAGATTATTTGGCTATTGTTTAAAAAACAAAGAACAGAAGAAGGCAAAGAACAGAATCAAATGGTAATCGGGCAAGAAATCAGCAAAAATTCTGCGAGGTCACGTGCTAAGTAGGGAGCAGTTTAGTGCTTCGTGGCAGACTGGAAGGCAGGAAATGGTAAATATTAAATATTTAGTTTAATTAAGATCAGAGGGAATTGTGTGGAAATTCAGAAAAATATAATCCAGAGAACAAAAGACCAAAAATATGAAGTAAAACATCAGAAAAGGGGTAAGTAAGTTTTTGGAGGAAAAAACCCAAGACGCTCATAGAACCTGCCGTAATCTAAATTAACTGTGTCATGTCAGGAAAGGGATCTATTACAGCCGACAGGTGAATGCAAACAGCCAGCGAGGCGACGCTACGTGTAAGGATGGAAAGATGAAGCATGTAAAATTCTTACGACGCATTCAATTGACTGGCTCACATACTGTAGTGCTGATCACATGACACCAACAAAATCTGATGGGATTCAGGAAAGTACAGAAAACGGTTAAGGACACAATAAAAACTAGGGATATTGAGGGATTTGCTATTATGCTCAAAGGAAGGACCACCAGTGAAGAGCACAAAATGAAAGGATGTAGCTCCGTGTCTGGATGCCCCGGTTCTCGCAGCCCCCGGGGCCGCTGTCGTCACCCGGTGAGCCCGGGCACAGCCGAGCCACAGCCCTCGCTCCCACCCAACCCCGGCACGTTCCCAGTCCACCACCGCTGCAAACACAGCCCGCGGCCAGACAAACGCTGTGCCCCCGTCCTTCTAAAGCTAATCCTTGCTTGGAGGTGTTAAACGCAAAGAAAGCACAAGTTTGGTTTAACATTTAAAACGCAGGCAGAGAAATAGACTGTTACTGCTTTTGAGACGTTTGAATAGCAGGAACATAAACCACATCCTCTTCGAAGCCTATCACTGCCGAAACGACAAGTTCCACGTCAGACAGAAACACTAAGCCAAACACAGGCTACTCTTCTCCAGCCTCATATTCTAGCCACATTTTGATTTTTACGCTGTCTTTGAAGAAGGAGAACTAATGTTTTAAAACCAGGATGGCAGCCCAGGCTAAACCCCCCACCTGGGAAGACAACTCAGCCCCAGAGCAGATACAATAAAGCCACATTAGGACATTCTGCGCATCCTCTGACGGTGTAAAAGCCCTCGGTGCCACAACGGCTGCTGTGTTGGTCCGACAGCTGTAACCACAACAGGTTCTCAAGAACGAACAGAACTTGAGAAAGGCAACCAAGTCACAGCTGCGGGCCCCAAAGCGAAGGGGGGATGGATGGGAGGATAAACCTGTGCGAGTACACCCCTGGGTCCTTGGACCCAAAAGCTCTCAGAAAGGTTACGACCTTCTAAGAACCCTGCAGGCAGCCAAGCGGAGGTCTAACACAAAGACATACACATGTAGAGAAATATTCAGACTCCCCTAAGGATGAAGCTTGACAAGCTGGGTTTGTTTCCTTTAAGCAGAATTTCAGGAAAGTTTACTTCTGTCTTCACTTCAGGCTTTCGTATGATTTGAAAAATGTGTGGAGCTGAGATTATACCTCTTCATTCCCTTAAATCCTAAGAGCACTTTTGGAGAAACTGCAGAAATAATTACAGACTGTAAAGCGACACCCGGGAAAGCAGCACATCCAGCGAGATGCTCTGGTTTTAAAACACTCGATGAGTTGCTTTGTGCTTTTTCTGTGTAAATAAGGATTTCCTTGATCAGCTAAAGATTAGGGATGACTAAGATTAGGGCCAGTATCTGACAGGGCTGAGTTTCAGTAGATTTTGTGGATTAGAAGCAGTAAACAGAATCCCCTCATTCCAAGGAGGCATACGAGAGATGGGATGGAGACATCACCTTTGTAGTAAGTGGCCAGGACGGAAATGTGACAAAAAAACCCTTGGGTATTTGAGAGGACTGGCTCGGAGAAGCAATTAAACATACACGTCCATAGCCAGGATAGCTCCAAAATGAAGAACCCTGCACGCCTGGCCCAAAGTCTCCGCGCCAGCTGGTTCCTTCAGGAGGTTTCACTGCTTCCTGGCTGGGAGAGGCGTTTGCCAGGTGAAATGTTAACAGTTCTCTAAGACTAATGTGGATGAGATAAAGTGGAACATGTGGCAGCCAAACCTCACGAGCCCTGATTTGTTAGATAAACTAAGACCGGATCCAATACAGTCCCATGTCCCAGCTGCAAGAATAAATCCTGGTGGAAGATCCGTCTGCAGCCAATTACAGCTGTAATTTGTGGGACAGAGACTCCTTTACACTTTAGACTTACTCGTGTCATTGACACAAAAGCATTTCTTCTGAGAACTGCAATTACAACACAACTTTAATTATGTTAAAGGTCAACTGCATCAGAAATTGCAGTCTGGCAAGACCTGATGACATTTGACAAGGTATTGGGTTCCCTGAAGAGCTGCAGACCCTAAACCATTGGTCAATCAGTTCTCTTTATAAAGAAACTGTGCTAACAGCAGCAAAGAGAAGTATTAAGATTTATTTAACAATAGCTTATTGGAGGTGATGACTGGTTAATTCTTTTCAAAAAACTGCAGTAAATTGCTGCAAATGTTAAATGCGGGATGTCGCCTCGGGACCCCTTCTTACAGGAACGGGCAGACTGCACAGTTTCATCAAGACGCTGCCTTGTGGCTTTCCTTTTGGAGTCCCGATTCAGTTAATGCTGAGGACTTTCTGCGTAACCCTCTGGATAAAGGAACGCACCCATCAACCGCAGCCTCAGAAAAGGCAACTGAAGTAGGATTTGACCCCACGTCCACTTTAGCAGCGTACACCGCCTTGTGTTTTCCCAGTGTTTCCAAAGGCAACAGTGGAAGGAACACCACAAGTCTCCTGACCCCTGGGACTGAGATCCCACCACGCGCTTTCTGCTGGCA